GGTAACTTTCGATCTTTTTTTTAAACATTTTTTTTTAATTCGCTAGGCATTCTTTAACCAAAAAAAAATATATGTACAACGACCCTATTGTAACTTTTATCGATACTATTCACATCTTATCAATTTGATATACATATTATTTTTAGTACGCATTTCCTTCGGAAATGTATATCAACGAAGCATAGCACCAATCCGTTAATAGCACCATCTATTTTTAATAAGGCACAAAGCTACAGTAAGTCTGACGGGCATATTCAAACTCACCACTAAACTAAATGCTGATATCTATCTCACATACTTAACATACATAAGCAGATAAAGAAAACTGGCGCTCTGCAACTGTCTTAATTAAATTATATCACATGAGAACAGCAAATTTGCAATTTCGGCCGGATAATTTATATTAAGTGTCTCAAAATAGATTATTCCAATAATAATCTATTCTAACTCGATCCGAACTTAAGCATGAAGAACTGCAACATATGCAACAGGACTATAAATCGACAGAATTCCCAAAACCCGAAATAATTTGGTACCAATGTTTTCTAGCAAAATGTAATTTAGATGTAATAGACTTGCATTTATTTCGGGTAGCTTATTGAAATGAATGTATTAGGTACGTGTAGAATTTTACATAGACCAAAATGTTTAACAAATATTATCCAAATTGAAAAGTCTATCTTTAATAGTATTATGAAGTATCTACATAGACATTATTTTTAAACGCATTTTTACATACAATAACAAAAATCCTCATTCGCACCAAGCTTCAATATATCAACGATAAAATAAAAATTGCAGTGAAAATCAACGAAAAACATTTTGCATTTTCTCTGATATTCCAAACTGTTCAATTTCATCGTTTCTTAATTTCTATAATATGGCCAAAACGATTATATAAATTTAAATCCTGCAATATTCCAATGGGTTGAAATCGTTTTTATTTTATCATTACAAGATAGTTACAAAAACCATTCTTCTCACTTAACTTTTATTTTCTTACTTAACTATTAAAACTACCCAAAACGATAAATGTATAAAAACACTATATCACATTGTTGCTCAAATTTGGAAATTTCAAGGCGCAAACAGATATCTTTGTTTTAGCATAAGCATTTTTCGTATTAGTTAAACCAACAAACGAGGAAATTAATCTATTATCCAATAGTTAATCAGTTCATATCTTCAACGACGAGCATCCATATTATTTAATGTTCGCAGGTACTTCAAAAATAAATGTGGCAACAATTGCTAACTTAAAACATAAGTTGATCAATATAACATTCCACAATTCGGCAATTTAAAATAAATATATATCTACTTCAGACCTATTAATATGCTTATTAAATTGCTTCGTATGTTAACCAAAAAAATATATTTGCACGATAAAAAGATATTTGAATTTATGAGACAAGGTATCAATAGGAACTTCGCACTGTCGCAAATATAAATATCTACGGTATGTGACTACGTATGAAGGCCGGCATACTCCTATGGATTATAATTTTGAAAGTAAACTTGATTCAAGTATAAATACGCTATTAAATTGAATTAATATAATTCAAATAATCTATATTTTACAACAAATGTACAATGCTTCCTCTAGTTTACATATTTGACTCTGAATTCCAACTGACGAATAAGCCACCTTGTAGCATACAGTATTAATTGTGCAATATCTAGGATACTTAGAGAGCCAAAATCCCAAGCTTAATATTTAACGTCTTGAGTTCCCGACTAAACAAAAGGTCATATACAAAGTGTCTGTAATTGAAAGGTCACCATTGTTATCTCAAAAATCGTAGATGAAGAATGAGTTAAATTAGCAAAGATCAACTCGTTTATGGAAAAAAAAATTATGGTTACACTTCGAGTACAAGACCTAACTATCCAACGTTAATTTCCAAACCCTTAAAATTTATATAATATTTTTTAGATATATTTTTTCAGTTTTTCCAGATAATCGAAAATGACGGAATACTTAATTCAATCTACTATACATTAAATGTCTCATGAAATGATATATTTCGAATGTCAGGAACTTAAAACAACAAATAAAAGAAATAAAAGAATGTAACTCGGTATGCATAACAGGGTTATTGAAAAAACATTACATGCAAAAGTGGTATAAAATATATTTCACTAAAATTCCCATTTCTAATTTTTCAAATTTTTTTTAACTTGAAGGAAAATAAAAAAAAAACGTACAACTTGAAGTACAGTTAAACAAAAATTCGTAACTCCCAAACCACTTACATCAACAAACTGAAATTTCCGCACCATAAAGAAAAATGATTTATCGAAAAGCGGACCAAATTTCACTAAGATCCCCACTTCTGCTGATTTTTCAGAAATGTTTAAACTTGACGAAAAAATAAAAAAACACCCAACTTTTAGTGCAATTAGGCACATTAAAATTGGCCAGATTTCGATGAATATTGGTTATTAACTTAAAATAAGTTGAAGATCAACATAGAAGATTCATATCGAATAGGCCTATTATTTTGCGTATAATTCGAATATGTAATAAAAAGTGCGTCATTCCATTTAACAAAAATGTAACTTTGGTCCGCCACTTGAATTTGAGACAGCCTGTATCAATAGGTATTATCTTAAAAAATGTTTATTCATTCATTTAAATATTTTTCTCTAAATTTCAAATTAGATGCAAAAACGGGGTGGCCAAAGTTCAATCAATAACCCTGTACATGCTTAATAAAGCTATACGCAGCCTATTTAGCTTCACTTGCTAGACGAGAAACAGACAAAACTGATAAAAATGGTAATTTAAAATATCTACCAGCGCTTGATTGCGAAACGACGCTTCCTCGGTTGGCGTTCCAAATTCACAGATCGTGGGGATTTGGATCAAAATCGTTGATAATGTTTCAGTAGTATTTAGTCGCTTAATTCGGATTTAATCGAGTATATTTATTTGATAATTCTATTCATTTATAGATGGGCTTAAAAACCATGAACAGACAATTTCTTGCCTTAAAGTTACCTTGTAAAAAGATTCGACATGTCACAGTTTTTGAACGGTATCTCACCTAGGAAGTCTTTCTAAATGAATTGAGCTTAGGTTTGAGAAGCCTAGGTTTGAGATATGACGATGACATTTCTCGCAAGACTTTTGTGGGTAGAATCTACACTTAAAGTCTCGCAGATTAAAAATTGGACCACCGTGTATCATTGATGTGAAATGCTTTTCTAATATTGCTACCTTAACAATCATTTATTCACCTGTTTTCGCGCGATTTCTGAGACTCCAGTGGTGACAATTAAATATGGGACACACTGTTTACCTGAATTTCTATGATCCCTACACAATCGCAATTTTTATATTATCACTTCTCCTTTCTGTAAGAAAATACTTTAGCCGCTGATCCAATTGATTTAAACTCGCATCAGCTCTATGCAAAAAACGTATTAAAAAATAGCATATAAAATCCCCTAACATGTAACAAAATACTCCAAGATGATAAAGAAAATCACTCATTAACGCTATCAAATACTGCACATTGTCGCCATTTCAAACTGCAAATATGTTTGAAACCATCTATTTGGTATGTCAACGTAGTGAAATTTTAGCAACAACAATAAATTGACAATATTACACACTTTATTGGCTTTTGAAAATAAAATATGCTTATTTAAACCAAAAAAAAAAAACCAAGTCTAAAATATTAGAGGTAATCACAGGAAACAAAATAAAAAAAAACTCTTTAGTAAACATAAGTTCGCAAAATAACCGTTCGGAAATATGAAAGATCAGTCTTTGTTGAAACAAGTATTTTTCAATTAGCTACTTATTTGTTATGTATAATCAAACAAAAGAACCCATATACAAGGTGTTTCATGAGGAAGAGTTATTTTCACCACGTATTCTAGGTCCGCAAATAACCCTAGTTTGCTAAATAAACCATAGCTTGATAAAATGCTTTGATACGGATTTTTAAGTTGTTGAAATTTAACTTAACAATAAATTAACGATAAATTGCTTCAAAACGGATGGAGATATTTTAACGAATTTTTCCAGAGATCAATAGCTAGGGAAGACGCAGTCAAAGAGACGGGACGCCTGAGTACAAATGGACGCCAGTCAAGTATTTTTCAATTTTTAACATCCAGGAATAGATGGACAATGGTTGTCAAAAAGATAAAAAAAAAATAGAGAGAGAGAGAGAGAGTTATACCATTATTTAATTCAGATCTAAATTTCAGGAATATAACAATATACAGGGTGTCCAGTAAGCACATGATCAAAAGGATACTGCGATATTCTTATTATCAAAAGAAAACGATCTGACCTAACTTTTATTAACACAAAATGCCTGGCTCATCTGCTATTGATCGTCAAAGTTCTTCAAAAAAATGATCTTTTTGGAAATATCGGGAGAATGGTACGATGTATTTTAGTGAAACTCGCTGCGAATTTGTTCTTATGTAAGACTCATATTTTGATGAAACAATCGAGTTCATCCGTTTTGGACAAGTGGTGAATTCTTGAGTGGCGTAGTACAAAAACTACCAGCACTTTTTATTTGGGGGATGAAATCAACTCATTTTTTTTTGGTTGATGCACTATTAATTTATTCACAATTTTGTGCTATTTGTAAAATTTTGTAGCGGAAAATAGACATATTTTTTTGCGCAAAAACTATGAATGCTACAAGATTTTACAAAGAGCACAAAATTGTGAATAATTGATTAGTGCATCAAACAAACAAAAATGAGTTGATTCCATCCACCAAATAAAAAGTGCTGGTAGTTTTTGTATCACGATACTCAAGAATTAACTCCTTGTCCAAAAAGGCAATTTCCTCGCAGCATAATTTGCCTGTTATATTACATTTTAATGCGTGCATCTAACTTACGCGCAGTTTTAAAATGTCAACAATGCACGGCATTTTATCCTAAAATCTATCTTGAACACCGATTCCAGTTTCTTACCTGCACTTCTCCAATATTCTTACAAATTTGATAGATTTTTTTATCTCCTGTACTTGTAGCGATATTTTTAATCAGCACTTTCCGTGTAGTCATGAGTGCCTCGTCCTTTAACAAGACCTTTCTATCAGCTAGAAATGTCGATATGTGTCGGGCATCTAGTTGTATATCCGGTTCTTCCAAAGAGACTTGAGCAGATGTTGCAAATTGTGCTCCTTTAACAACAGTTTGTCCTCTTTCATCCACTTGTTGAAGTGATTGTAGAACGGGCGCTCTCATCCCAGCTGAGAGCTGTTGGTTTTGCTGATGAGTATTTCCCTTAAAATAGTACATACATAACAAAAATGGCATGTACAGACATGGTAAATTGATCCCGTAATAATGTGGCGTATCATCAATTTACTAAACATTAACAGAAGAAGAAAACTAAAATTCATAACTACTATAAGTAAATTTTACAACAAATTGAAATTTCTTCGTCTAGCATGGCCGCAACTTGTGAAGAACTTCTCAATGGTTTGGTCTCACGGCGAATGTCTTCAAAGCGCACTTTCTAGTATTTAACTTGTCGGCATCATTGCAACCAAATTAATTTAATTTCGAAGGTTGCTATTGGTTTCAATCTTTCTCAAGGTATTTAGTGAATAATTCGCGAGTTCAAGATTCCAGACGCCCCCTGGTGGCTCAAATTATAACTACAAGTTAAGTACTAATTTGACACTAGTTTTGTTGACGTTGGTGTCACATTGGTGTTTACATCTGATTGTAATTTGTTTCGTTTTGTTCTAATCAACTTTTACAAGCTTTTCAAGAAATAAAAACAGTTCGAAAAGTATTATTTTATGTTATAAATGTCATCAACTCCAATAAATAAACAGGTCTGACAAGACTCTACTGTCACTCGACAACGACTAGTTTGGCGTTTCGCAGCGCCACCATCGGTAGTTGAACGCGAATAGATTCGAGTAGCGTTAGGTTGAAGGTCAAATTGTCATCATTGTACGTTAAGTTATTAATTAAATAGAAATTGTCACAAGAGGAGTTACAATTGTTTCAATGCTTTTTGGTACCACATGGCCATTAACTAAGAAAAAACTGGTAGCAATACGTAATCCAGGGTTTTCCAAACTTTTTCGATAACGGAACACTGTTCAACTTTGTAGTAGTGTGTAAATATTGTCATGTTATAGACTTAGAAAGAAAAGATAAAATACGGGTCATGAAGGTCATGATGTCAAGAAGCTATTACCAATGTATTCATATTATTTTCGCAGTTAACAATAAAAGTAATATTTACGTTTCGCAGCGCCCCCATCGGCCGTTGAATTAATAAATATGCGCCCCTATCGGCACTTGAACTAATAATTATAAAATGCGAATAAGTTGCATATTTTGTATAACATTTGCGCTAACTAAAAACATCGTGTTTTGTGTGTGGCAACGTCGGCGAACGCAAAATAATAGACCATTAAAACGACGTTATAACGACAAGTCATTATTTACAAAGTGCAGGTAAACTTTAAATTAGGATCAATAGCTGTCGATAGACTTACGTAATTCATTAAATAAGCATATCGGTTGCTTATTAATGAAAATACTTTAAAAATTATGACAGTGACACGTTCAATTTGTCACATTTAGTTGACTGCGCACACTGTGCGTCAAAGTCGGTGCGTAAAAGTAAATCAAATTAATACGCAAGAAAAGTGCTTCTTTATGATCACCGCTTCTGATCCTAAAATGACGTTGAATAAAAACGAAATTTGTGGGTGGAAATGAAAAACAACTCCTGCTAATTTGATGACTTCTGGTTCTTGTACATGTTTCTGTTTTTCGTGCAAATTTTACTATTTTTTCTATAGAGCCGAGAACGCCAGAGGAATGACTGAAATATTATAAGATTTACTAATTTAGTTAAACCACTTGATTTTGTCAATTACTTGTAATTAAATAAATAATTGACAATGTTAATCCTTCTCGTGATTAACTTTAAGTTCATTCAAACCGATTCAAAATGATTAATTGATTTGCGCGTCAATCTAAATTCGTTGATCATTAAAAGTGTGCGTCTATCAATGTACTTAAAGTGTTAAATTAAATTAAGTTTAAAGTGTTCAAGTGTTACTGGTCAATATCAATCTACTCACTCTGTTCTTAACTTGGCCTTGACGCTGCTGAACCGACTTGATCATATGTTGCTTTGGCGGCTGAGGTTCAAACAGTGATTTAACTGATTGCAGATTTGCTAGCCGTCTGAGCTCCTTCCACTTCAAGATTTCTTCACGTTTACGCTTTTGCTCCTCGATCTTCAGTCTTAAATCTCGAGTTTCCTCATCATCCTCCTATAGCGAAAAATGAAAAATTATTTTAGTAATATGATGAAGATTATTAGCCGCAAACTGAATGTTTTATAAAACTAAGGACAATTGAAAGGTTTGGAAATAAGTAAGTTTCAAAAATGACAACTTACGATTTTTACAGTGGTGACATTGGTAACTGTGACTTCTTTCACAACTGAAGGTCGATCTTCAGTGCTCACAGTGAATTTTTCTACCTGGACTTGTGGTTGCGGCACTCTATTCCCTAAACGATGTTGCAACGAACGCTTCCTAATCTGTGGTTGTAATCCCGGTGAGATCTGAAAATATTACCAAACACTAACATATCAAATGTTAAAACTATAGCATTAAAATGCTACTAAAATATTTTTTAAACCTGAACATCAAGAGTGTACTTTATGAATATGTAATTTTATACTAAGAAACATGTAACAACTCTACTTCTTAATTGCAAAAAATCAGGTGTATAAAGCGTTTCACCTGAACCTGGAAGTTCTCGTCAGTGGGTTTAGATGTAAATGTACAACTGTACTTTAGAAGAGTAGTGAAAAAATAAAGAACTGCTATATCTATTTTTCTACGAGCTTTTGGTCATATACAAGCTAAACCAGCTGACGAAAACGACTTGTGGATGGTCCTGAGGGGACTTGCTAGTGGCACTCCTGAAAAGCCTCTACTTTTCAGTTGAAATTAAATCAACATTGTTTTTTAAATATGTAATACTGATGTTACATTTTAAACAATTTAAAACATTAAATTAAAAAGTTTGAAAAATTGGCAGACAAATTTTCATTTTGTTTTTACATGGTATTATGTGGTAAAAATATTGAAAATCTACGATTTAAATGTAAATAGAATGTCCTACCTTCCGCTTAGTAGTCATCATAGTGTTTGAAGTAACATTTTTGCGGAAACGATTATTATTCGATCCGTTCAACATCACTCGCCGATTTGAATTCATCAGGTTTTCGTTAGGAGGGAAACTTTGTTGATGTAAAGGTTGTTGTCCTACATTGTCAAATGGTGGAATAAATTGAATATTGGCATTAGCACTCATATTGTAGTTTTGAGATTCAAAGCTATTTTGTGGGTATGGGGCAAACATTGGCTCATTTGGACCCTGAAAGCGGAAAATTAATATTAGCGCCGCATAGCAATATAAACGTAAAAGCTTTATAATTATTATATTCAAGAGTACAATTTATTTAGGAATTATCTAAATTTACATTACTTGCAAGTATGCTTTTCGACAGTTTTCCAGTCACATAGAAATGTTTTCCGAGGTAAATTATTGTTAATTACACTTCCCGGACAAGGTACGTGCTATCTCCCGTACTCCATCACTCCGCAAATGATACAAATGGTACAAAAGTAGCAAATAAATACCAATTAATATGCATTTGGTAAGAGATTGGCGCGAAAAATATTCAAGGGCGAATACCCATTAATTCCGAGTTAAACACAGAGAGAAAAATACAGTTTTTGTGGACCGACATTACAACGATCGTACATTCATTCGCAACTCGGATTTCCAAATCGAAGCAGCGGCAAATTCTTACGGCCCTATGCGAACCGACGACGTCATATCCAATTTTGCATCCAAAATAATTATAAAGGGTATTCAAGATCCCGATCCACATTTAATAACTTAAAATGTTTTTAATACTTATATTCATTAACTTATACTAAAACACATGTAGCCCAACTTCCTAAAAGTTTTTAATTGGCGAGTTGTTGGAGATTGGTAAAACCATCTCCAACATTTCGCTAAAAAACACCGAATTGGGCATACGTAAGATCGGCCAACGGATATTGCCAGTGCTGTCAAGTTGGGCGACAAATCGGGAGTAAGTAAAGTTAACTTAGTAAATTTGTTTAAAAGCGCCTGAAATTTTCAATTTGCGATATACGCCAAAATGGGCGATCAAAGCTATTATCGCCAAGTCTTCGTCAACGTTGGGCGATTTGAGCGACTTTTTGTTTGTGACTAGCAACTTTCTTTACCTAAACTTTGGCAACAATGCTTCTGTGTTCATTTATGACTGCGACATCACGGCGAATCGGTGCTGATTGACTATGCATACCGGCTAGTGTACGTGCAATAGGGTTTACAAAAATACGTCAAGAAAAAATAAAAAATTTCTGAATAACATAACTCGAAAGAAAAAATCGGTTGCTTTGTTTCTGGGAGTTTTCAGGATGTTTTCATTTACTAATGAGAAGCGATTGAACGATTGTTGGTCCAGATAGGCGAATTTTTTTAAAATGTCAAGAAAAACCCAAAAATATCTTAGGCATGTCCAGAATATCACTCGAAAGAGAAAATCTGCGGCTTTTAATGAGAAAAACCTCACTTGAATAGAAAATTTCTAAGAGTTTTCAGGATTTTTCAGCTACTAAATCGAAGCGATTGGTCGTTGGACAACACAGATTATTCAGAAATTCGCCAAGGAGAAATTAAACATTTCTCAATCCGGCCTATAATATAACTAGAAGGAGAAAGTCCGCAGATTTAAGTGAGGAAAAACTCACTTCATTAGGAAACTTCTGAAAGCTTCCAGTATTTTTTCAGTCACTAAGGTGAGGCGATTGACCGTTGGTAAACACGGATTTCTCAAAAATTTGCTACTGTGGGCCATTGATCTTTGGCAATGTTACTGATGTTTTCTTATAGATATTTAAAATTTCCAAAAGCCACAATACTTGCAAATAAATCAACGCTTTCTTGACTAATAAGAAATAACTCCTAGATGCGAATTTGCCTTTTATTGGTACAGTAAGTAAATAAGCAATCGAGAATATTTTTGAGGATATAGACGTTTTTAAAACGGCAGAAAGGCGGTTTTCTTAAACCATCAACAAATAGAAGTAATAACAAGATAATGACGTGCGGTGCCCTGGTATATATGGAAATTCATAGGAATTCGAATGACAATTAATTTTGAAACAAACAGTACAAGCGATTATTCTTTACAAAAGCAAATATTATAATATTAAGCAGAAATGAATAAGAAACTTACATGAGGCATATTCACAGGCGGCAAAGGTTGAGGCATAAATTGTTGGTTAGAAGGAGGATACTGAATCTGATGTCCTGGAGGATATATATTTTGAAATGGCGGTTGCTGCATTTGTTGTATTTGAGGGGGTTGCTGAAAATTAGGCACCTGGGGCTGATATGGAAATTGCTGTATTGGCGGTTGAAACTGAAGCTGATTAGGTGCATGAATATGTTGCATTTGAGATTGGGGATGCATAAGTTGCATTTGTTGCACTGAAGCAGCTGGCCCTAAATGCGCCGCAGGAGCTCGATTTGCCCATGGATTTGATGGAATCTGTTGCTGTGCATCCCATGCTAGCCGCGCTGAAATAATTAACGGAAATTATTCTGCATATGATTAATTATTAAACTAAAAAATGTACCGGTATTATTAACATGAACCACCCCTTGGAACCGTGGATTTATCAAAACAGTTTTGTTTCTTCCTTGCGGTCCAGCGCGAATGTTTTGTCTTCCTTGCAGAAACTGGTTACCTCGGCCTCGATTTTGATAGAAATGTCCACCTCTCCCTCTTCCAGGATTGTTTTGCTTTCCAATTCTAAATTTAGCTGTTTTATTACCTAAAATTGAGACACATTTTAAACGCGCAACAAATTAAGTACTATATTGATACATGTGTTATGCGCCTTTGTCAATTAAATTATTTGAACATAGACCAATTGCTGCAAAGACTAACAAATGGTACGTACTTACCAGATGTGTCGGGAGCTGTTATCTTTGGTCTCTCGGTTACAAATTTCTCTTGCCTCGGACCTTCTTTTTCTGCCTCATTCCTGTGGTCTAGAAATGACAATGTATGAAAAAAATTTCTAGTTTTTTTGTTCAAGAATCATACTGTAATAAAATTTTATATTCTTGAACTTATTGCAATACACATCAAATCATTGAAAGTTTACTATAGAAATCCAAAATTGTTTAATTTTAGTTTGTTACTTTGTTGTGATTAGTTTTCAATATGTACCTGATTCCAAAGGCAAGTCCTCAGGGGCAATACTAAGGACATCTCCATCATCATCATCTTTCAAAAGAGCTCTTTCTTCAGCTTCTCCTATTTCCAAATAATCATCTGTGGCATCATTCAACAAATCTTCATTCCTAAGAAAAAAATATGTTATCATCTTCACATTTATGACAGTAATAATATAACATTTCAGTAGTATGATTTTTTCAAAAAAGTTCTACAGTTCGTTCTTAAAAGTTGCATTATGTGTGGGTTGTTCAAAAACATCGGATAAAATAAAGATTAGTACTTAAATGTAAAAATCGGATCATACACTCGGAGAGAGAAATTATTCTAGATTAGCCGTAGTTCACCTCTGAAAGGGATTTTTCTTGTTCTGTTTCTTGAAATAAATCGGTCCTTTTCAGGACTACAAAAATTTGAAACAAATGGTCGCAATTAATGATACAATGTGCCTTCATTCCCATACCTTTGGGGTTACTGTACTTCCAGTTCAGTATTGTTATATGCTGCTATTAGTGGGTTAGTTAAAATCAAAATTACTAACTAAAATATTAGATTAATAAGTATACCAAAAAAAGTATTTATTCTTATATATTATTTAAGAACGGTTTGAAGAAAAATAAACCCAAACTAGTTACATGACTGTTCTCGAAATTTATGTCGTCTATACTGATAGATACAATCGAAAATTTGCCCGTACCGAACTGTTGAACTTAAGTAAGTATAGCACATGTTACCTGAATCATACTTAGAATTCAACGGATAATTCAAAATGTATATAAAAAGCAGATGTTTTCATTTGAAAAAAATAAGTTGATGGTAGTAACTTATTTTTTGAGTACCATGTATAAATAAATTTGAGATAAAAAATTCGCATTTATAAAAATAAAAATTGATGGGTCCAAGTTCTTTCCGTCTCCAGCATTCTCAATGTCCGCTGACATGATTAAAACATAATAACTTTGGAAAGGGAGGAAGCAGGTGTGTATACACTGAATAAACTCTTATAAGAATAAACTTTTATACGTGTTTTTCATGTATTACATGAAAATCTCGTTTGATAATGAACTTTGCCAGACAGTTTCAATTCAATAGCGCCTCTTACGATTTCTATAAATTTATCTAGCTTTTTTCCGAAAAAAAAAAACATTGTAATTTTGTCTGAAATGTCGTTATGTCGTTTCGGAGGATACACAAATAATGTGAGTATTCTTTTATAATCGAAAGCCAAAAGGCGCAATCTAGATAATGACCAAAATATTATCTAAAAGATGCTCATTTTTAACCTGGCAGATCGAAACCTGACCAATTTTCCTCAAAATTACCAACTTTCCTTTTCAATGAATCACGTAAGATTGACTACGTAAAGTCTGTACGCTGTAACTTTGGTCACACGTCATCAGTGACGAAATTTGACTACTAAATTTGTGTAATAAGTCGATTCTTTTTTGTTGTGTTTTGGGCATTGGAAAACCTCAAGCAACCATAAAATGCGAAAGAACTTTAGTAGAACTGGGTACCTAATTTAAAGCGATGTTGATTATTTATGTTCATCTTTAAATTGTAATAGGTTGGTAAAAATTACAATGCTGCCCAATCGATCGTAGATTTATCGGAATTTTTTTAATGTCACATGACGTTTGCTTGTTGCATTTGTCATGTACTTGTATAAACCAGTATTCCATAAAGAATAATCAGCAAAAGCGAGACAGTTTTTGCAACCGGTTTTTTGTATTGCAAGGAGACAAGTTTACGAAATTTTCCAACAAATAACTGTATTATCTCAATGATATTAACATTAGAAAGTACCTTTTTTACCTGTAGTTTTCATACTATTTGAATAAATAACTTGAGTACCTAATATAATTGTTTTGTTAGGTGGTCTTGTACCATTATCTACCTATTAATTGCTTCTTCCCAGTACAGTGCGCTCGCGAAATTTGCATACGGATTTCTTCGGGTTTTTCAGAAACTATATACGGAAATTTGCTATAAAAAAGTTGGCATCCCTGCATGCTTAAATGACACCCTGTATATTATATTTAATATTTTAACTGCAAAATCTAGGAAAAAGCTTATATGTTTCAAGTATTTATGGTATAAATATCGAAATACGACGCTTAAACTCTTTACTCATAATTTTGTTATAAATTACATTGCTGTATACAGGTAATACGTTTGTGGATAAGCATCTAACAATAACCCCAGCCTTACAATTGTTAATCGTTCGTAATTACTTACAATTGTTCCGACATGGTCTTGAATATAATAAATACACTTAATTAAGAACCCGAAAACTTGATGGGGAAAGCAAAATAAATCCGAGGAACCACAAATCTTCTAGTAAACAAGCTCTGATGCTGCAGATGCTATTTGCGACTAACCTTAAAATTACGAGTCCGAAAAGGTGTCAGTGAAAAACTGACGCATTTAGCGCTGTTGCCAAAACCAATAGTTTGGGCACGTACCGCAGGGGGGATATTCTATGCATGTACCTTCCAGCATGCAATGTGACGTCGGATGAATTTAAATTGAATACTAAAACAAGATATTTTCAACAAAAATTGAATTAAGGTACAGATTATTTCACCGCTATGTCCCCGTATTGGCGGGAAAATTTGTTAGAATATAAGTAAAATTTGAAAAAGTCGATTTCGGCCAGGCACAGAACGTTTTGAAAATATTTTAGATCGCTTGCCAGCATTGACTGTACAATTTAGTTAAGTTAGAAGAAGTTTAGAAGAAGTTATTTTTTTTACAAATATGTCCTTTTCTACAAGGAACGAGACTCTAATTAAGGAACACATTTCCTTACAGGACAAATTAACATCGAGTGCCTGCGTTTGCGGTATACTGCCAATTTTCAAATCTCTCCTAATTATAGTTATATATACAAATATCGGTTGCGATGGGTCCCCGTGGGACACCCTGTATATGGCTTCGTGCTCCCAATTTTCTTGTACCGGTTTAATCAAAACGTTTGTTTCTAAAAACAGATGTTCTCACAAAGTCGACAGCGGGACTGTATAAAAATAGTCAAAATACTTTTGTGTAAAGTTACACAGTGATAGGTACAACCCTTAATTTTTTGAGAAAAATTCAAAAAGGAGGAAAATTATATATAATTATAAATTGTAATACGGCATACACGCCGGTCGAATTTACAATTTAAATCGACAGACAATCATTTTAAATTAGTGAAATTGAGTTGTATTATTGAACTGCTATACTGTACTAGGTGGACCAATAAAATCTAACATATTGTACTGTGGATGGCCGAGTATTTAACTCTTTCTTCTGGTTACAACTTTTATTCCACTCGGTACAACTTTAACTACGGAACAGGAACAAACTAACTTCAAAGTTACCGTCAACTTCACTAACAATAACAATAACACAAGGAAAACACGCGTTTCCGACTCGCGGGTTTAACCTTCTTCTGCACTCAGGCGCGACTGTCACTTCACTCTCTCGGTCTGGTTCTCGTCGTCGCTTATATCCTTTTCTCCAGGTATTCCAGATAGTTCTAGAAATCTCCAGAACAGGTGCGAAACTTCCCGCTTGTCAGTGTCATATTTGACAGTAAATGGGGCCCAAATGGGGCTCCCATTTACTGAAACACCATGAATTTCGATCCCCCATTCCAAACGTGAGTACCCCAGGCCATTTCCGTTACAATATTTATGTATAAGAAAGTCTGTAAATTGTTTGCAATAAAACATTTAAGCTGCAGAAATAGTGTTTTTGTAACTACCAAATATAAAACCGTATTAAAAAAAAACAAAAATGTATTAATTCCGGCAGCAATTGACGTCATTAAGATGTCAGCAAATGGGCGTAATTAACATGCCAGCCAAATGACGCCATTAAGTGGTCAGCAAAATAGCGTCATTAAGACGTCAGCAATTCACGTCATTTTACCTGTGACATTGTGGCGTTATAATGATGGCAATTTAACGTCAGTCGGGCATTTGCTGCCCAAAAATTGACGACAATCTGGTACCTGAGTTAAGCCTTACGAACCAATAGTTTGCAAGTCGCTCGGTTCAAAGTTATCTTTGTACAGTAACATACTAGAAACAGAAGAAAGTAGAAGTAAAAAGCGCCCATCATATAAACACTGTTCTGTTTCAGTTTATCAAATGAGAAATTTGTAAACGCGGTTTTAAGCTCAGATTAAACAGATGCTTAGATATATTTGCACTATCCATATGTGAGACACTATCAACGTGCTCTATTTTATCGATGCCAAACAGGAGCATATTTTAAGTTTTAAGGTTTAAGCTTTCCGAAAATAGATTTTTTTATTTGTTTGTCATACAGGGTTTTAAAAATATAAGTACTATAACTACGAACTTTTCGCTTTCTGGAAAATGTAAACATCAAAGATAATTATAATAATAAATAATAAACACGTGTGATGATATAGTTAAAATTCGTTTCGAGCCTAAAAAGTACTGCGATTATGCTAATTTGTCTCCCAACAACAATTCGGATGTGTTCCTGTTAATTACTACTTTAAATAGTTTCACGGAACAATAATGTTAAATAATACACACAACGGTACCTAAAGAAGGCTTCGATTTTGCAGGAAATTAGTCAAAAGTTCAACACACCTTCTTCCACTTCAAAAGAAAGAATGATTTACGTTCTCCTATTCATTATTCTGGCAAGTCAAAGAAGCAGTTCCCATTTCTAATTTATATGTCAATTCTAAAATAATTAATCAATTGAGAAATAAAAATCAAGTAAATAGCATTAAACGAATTGGAAAAGTGCAAAGAAATAAACACTATGATAACTAAATTAGATTCTCGTAGATATTTGATTTATTAAAAATATTGAAACCCAAAAAAGCATTAATGTTTACATATATTTAAAAATAATACTACATATTTGGCCAGTACGATTATTGCACCGTTAATTGCACTACATTATGTATGTTTACTAAACAGCTTAGCAAGCGCTTTAACTAATTCTTTAGATGTATTTAATTTTGGTAAGACAAAATAAGTAGGTATAGATGAAACACGTTGACAATAAATGTAATTTTGAATGCTTTCAAACCACGAAAATTTAAAGCAATTCATCGTGTATAAAAGATTGATTTGAAAACTTGCCCATGAAATCCCGCCCTCCAAATTATTCCAAATTCGAACAAAATGTCCATCTTTTGTACTATCGATTTGAAGCAGCTATTGCATGAAAATTGCTAGATTTCTAAAGCTTGTTCTAGCAATTCTAGGGAGAGAACGAACTAGATAACCGTTCCTCAGTTAGCGCCAAATAAAAAGCATGTTTAGTGCTAGTAAATGGGTTATAATGTCCTCAGGATCTTGGGGTCTTGAGGTAGATAGCAAATACCGAATTTTATACAAAATATATGTGTTATATATCCGATTCATATATATCACTAGTACTGTGGCAGTTTTCGCTATGTTTCTTGTTAATCTGGGATCCAATAATGACAAAGGTAAAAAGTTTCTAGAACTGCATTTATTTTATAACTTGTTTTAGACTAGTAATTCTTTGTTTTAACATTATTTTATTTGTTAAACATTAACAATACTATTTCAGAGTAACTGAAATTCTTCTCAAAATTTGTGATTTGTGAACTTCGTTTCAGCTATCGAAGCCCTATCCTTAACATTATGCTCCGTTTCATGCATTATCAGATTAGCCGTCTGCTTGAAACAAAAAGTAGTTAATCTTCTGAAAATTGTAATGGAGGACCAATTTAACTACGCTGTTAACGATCCTAAGATTAAAGTTATGCTTCAAGAGTACAAAAGTTACGTAACTTTTCTCTGTGTGTTCGTAGTATGTTACACATACAGCCTTGTAATTTTATTCAATATATTTAATGGTAAGTATGCGAGGTTTATATCAAACTACACCCATAGTTTTTGAGATTTACCCAAAATTAAGATTTGCTGCCCTGCAAAAAAACTGCACTGCAAGTAACGTTATACCAAGTACCTGCAAGTACCCTTTGGAATATAGACACTATATTTTCGCTTGATGTAAATCATTGTCAATTGGGATTAACCCGTCTAACATTTTTTAACAGTAGCATAACGTTTGCAGCACACCGGAAAATTTACGGTGATTTAAAAAAGACTTAGAATTTTTTTTTTTTTTTAACGCGTTTACATTAATTGATGCAAGACGAGATACTATCTTGTCAGCTTATTTTTGTTAGTAGATTAGTCGATTCAACCAATTTAATTGGTTGATCAATCAACGATATGAGAAAAAAAATATTGTCAGACAATGAAAGTCCAACTAAAATAGTCAACTTCAACGTTGTAGTGTTCACTTTTGTAAATTTACTTTTAAAGAAAAATACTGAGATATTTGAGACCGTAACCCAAGCTAATGTAGCTGATGTTTAAAAAGGTATCAAAAATCAGGATTCTGGGTGATTTTCATGAAACCTTCCTCACCATTAGAGTCAGCTTTCGTCTAAATATGGTGCCAATTTCAAGTTGCTACTGCTTTTAGTTTGAATGATACGAAATTTTCAAATGTGCTATTTTTTTAAGGCGCAATTGAATAACACAATTTGAGACCAACATTTACGAAGCTGCAAAAAATGAGAATTCTGCGCGATTTTCACGAAACTTTAAGGAATTTGAGAATCACACATCTTCTAAGCATGGTTTGAATTTCAAGTTGTTTATTGCCTTAGTGTGGAAAATACGAATTTTCAACAGATTGGTCGTAGTTGAAAAAACTAAACAAAAAAAAAATTTTGATCCTGATGTTCACAAAGCTGTCAAAAATCAGGATTCTGGGTGATTTTCATGAAACCCTCCTCATCATTCGAGTCACCTTTCGTCTAAATATCGTGCAAATTTTAAGTTTTTTCAAGGGAAAAGTGGAGTTGAGTAAAGCAATTTGAGACCGATATTGACGAAGCTGCAAAAAATCAGAATTCAGAGCGATTTTCACCAAACTTTCAATAATTTTAGAATCAGATATCCTCTAAACATGGTCTAAGTTTCAAGTTGTTACTTGCCTTGGTATAAAAAAACGTAAAATTTCTTCTTGTTTTAGGAATTATAGAATTTCAGTCATTCAGAAAATTGCATCCAAATGCCACGGAATATCCTCAATATCTAGTATCTATTTGGCTGCCTTTCAATGTTCAAACCCATTTTACATTAGCGTTAATTTGTCAAACGGTTCTTTTTCTGCAATCCTGTGTTTTAAATTACTCAAGCACAGTTCTATTTAATACGCTTATGATTTATGTAGTCATTAAACTGAAAATATTACAACATTTATTTCAAAATTTTAATACGTATCCGAAAAACTTGGAAAATTTCCATATGGAATTAAGAGATGTTTTGGCAATCGATAACCTTAAGCATCTCATTCGTCAGCATCAAGATATAATCAGGTAAGTAGTTCGGTTGATCTTAATTTAGTGAGTTAATCATATGTAAAATTTTAGTTTTGTTAAGGAACTAGATAAAAATATTAAAATTGGAGTTCTGATTGAGTATACCATAACTTCATTGATGTTGGCTACAATAAGCATTCAAGTATTAACCGTAAGTTTATGGGTGGGGGGCGGTGTTACTAGAGACATGAAGCTTCATTTTGAAGCACTTGCTTGTTGCTGACCCGCTTTTCACCCAAAAGGAGGAATTTGTGATCATATTTTCAACAAGAGAAGTTAATTTCGTGCATCCAATTGTTCCCTTCAGCTTAAGCATCAGTTCGAGCCATACTTACTGTATCATATGCTGCTGTTAGGTCGACAAAAGCTGCATATGTTTTCGTCCCTCTTTGAAATCTCGCTTCTATAAATGATGTGAAGGTTAGAACTCGAGTAGTCTGTGTATTGTTGAATATTTATTTTTATTTGCTCCAACTCTATTTACTCTATTCTTATTTCTCATTCTCTCAGTGGGAGGGACGTTCTCAGCTCAATGTTTTATGTGCTGTGCGATTTTCGATTTTGTGCCAGCCAATGATTTTAGAACATGCAGTTTCAGCAGTAGTTGCTGTAGTCCATTTTTCCTTGCGCTTCCGATTTAAAGATTCTAAGATTGGTTTTCTAGTCCGGGTTCCCATGTTCTTTCAAGTGTTCTTTATGTTGTTGGTAGAGATGTTTTTGTCGGAAACCGGTAATTTGTTGTAAACAACACACAAACTACAGGCGGCATTTGTTGTTCCGCTAGACAATTAGCAATACCAAAACGAGCTTTAATAAAGTAAACAATTATATACTATTTTTAGGGAAACAAAGTAGCTAGTTTTTCCTTTTATGGCTTAATACTGATTTACCAACTATTTTTATTGTCATGGAATGCGGCCGAAATTAAAACTCAGGTTTGTTATGTACATAATTAGTTTATTGTTAATATAAAATATTCATTTCTAAGAGCGAGAAAATTGCTGGTGCAATATATGCGACTGATTGGTATGTTTACGGTCCTGGTGTTAAGCAAATAATACATTTCATAATCATGAGATGCTCTAGAGGGCTCTCATTGGATATTGGACCGTTCGGTCCTAACGACTTAGGTGCTGCTTCTGCTGTAAGTACGTTATATTAAATAAATGAAACACGCTATAATCGGCACACTTTATTATAATTTAAGTTGGAAACAACTGTTTCTGATTTAAAATGGACGGACATCATATAAACAAGGTTTTCATCTATTTATTTCAAAGGCTTAGGTACTTTTTTCAACTGTGAATTCAACACATGTTTAATACATATATTCACAAGTTTCTAAAATAAATTGATTCTATTAATTAAACAGTTAAATAAATTTAATTCTTGAGCTGCAGGTGGATCTAACAATCTAAATACTGACATTTTTTTATTTATAGAAATTTCTCAATTTTCCAATGAGCCTCCAGAGCTGTAATTTTCAAGCCTGCTTATTTCGAATGGAACCCCCCATTTTTTCTTTATTTTCGATTTCATTGTCAAATTTTAGGGCCAATATATGATGTCTAAACGCAAAACTTTTTTTGGATTTAAAAATGATTCGGAAAAATTTAACAAATTATTCTATCATAGCGGAGTGCTCTGTGCTTGCGCGAAACCTCACACAAGTTAGACCAAACGATCGCCTTACCCACGGTCTCCTGTATAAGCGACTTCCCATATTTTATGAGGGTAATTCCCATATTTTATGAGGTTCCCAGATAATATGTAACGGCATACCAATACTTCCTTCAAAACTAGAGCTTTCTAGTAGACTAGAATCGCACATATTCAACAATACGTGGCCGGTCGGATTCTTGCTCTGGTTGGTGCTGACTGATCGTTGCACCAATGGAAGCGTGGTATCGGTCATAAACTGGTTGAGAGTTACATTATCTATCTATCTATATATGTATCTATATTTATTAATTATACTATATATATTTATTATTAAGATTTAGAACCTTTGAAGAGCTGGTTGTGTGTAGAGGCTTGAAAGAAACTTCTAAAAGTTTTAAGTCACGAAAGATATTTACTTTCATAAGGAACAATTGCCTTATAAAAAAAGTAAACTAAACATTTATCAAGGTCCGTGTTCTTTTCAGAGGCTGAAATTGGCATATTCCTATGTATCCGTGATGGGCAACAACAAATAAAATGCATAAAAGTTGAACTAGTTATTATAGATTATATGCTATCATCACAATGTTTATGTAGATTATGTAGACTAGTAAACTACACGATAGCAGTTTTAATATATTGCAATATCAAATGAAACCGTGTATGATTTCTTAGCTCATAATCGTCATACATACAATACAAGTCCCTCTTTTCTTATGGCATGACTTGTCCGAACGTGTCAATGCAACGTATCCCATCCAACTTTAATTCGTATGAGCGGTCGGCATTCGTACGAGCATGATTTTTATTTATAGTCCACAACGAAGTTTTTAACCAATACATTAAAAATATGTATGTATGTGTACAGTTGACTTGAAAAATGAACTAAAATGGTTCGTTATATTCGGAGTTCGCTATAAGCGAATAATAATACAAAAACACGTGGTGGATTTTATTTCGTTATTTTTACATAGAGTAGTAGAAGTTAGTAGATATGACTAAAAAGAACACAAAAAGATGAACAAAATTCAATTTGAAATCTATTTCATAAAGTCTGTAATTTTTGTTTGTACATTTCTGCTGCAAAAATAGATGTTATTTATGTAGTTTTCAAGATCACAAAAGGACTCTCAGATATGATTAGGAACTTGGCGTGATTGTAGAAAATTCCGAGGTTTTTGTCATTTCAGAAATGGTTGGAACAGCATTAGTGCCTACAGTAGAATACGTTTCACCTAAATCGTCATCTTTCTCATTATCGCTTAAAGCTGTAGATGAGGTTACGGAGTCTATAATTTGCTCATCGATCAACATTTCTCTTGTAAGAATGCCATTATCAATGTTTCATTTTCGGCTAACTTTTTGTCAAGCTCTATGAATGAAATTGACTGCATCTAAGAGATTTATAGAAAATGTTTCATTTTTATCGATCGCCTCTAACG